GGCGTGTGCGTGTGCGTGTGCGTGTGTGTGTGTGTGTGTGTGTGTGTGTGTGTGTGTGAGAGAGAGAGAGAGAGAGAGAGAGAGAGAGAGAGAGAGAGGAAGGAACCATACAGTGAATAATATGTCAGGGGCTTAGTACAAGCCCATAGAGTTGTCTGTTTTCCTGTGAAGAGCCCCCTCTATGCAAACACCCATGACAGATCCTTTTTTGTTCTATTCTCATGGCCTTAGCTTGGACACAAATTTGTAAATTACTTCCTTGCAAGAATGACCCGAGTTTGGTTTCTAATCCCCTGGATCTATTCGGATTGCCTATTTCTTAGTTGCATACAAATATGCACCTTGATTGCTATGGATAACCCAGTAGGTAATTCCCTCTCTTCTTGTTGATGCTTTGTCTTGCTTGGACGATAGAAGGTTCTGTACAGGACTAATTTAGCCAGACAGCTATAAATTGACCGAAAACACATATAAGCTTTCTATACATTAATAACTAGGGGGTTGGTGCACTCACTCAATTCTAAAATTGTTCATATCGATGTCATAGGTATTAGTATACAAGTGATTCTTTATTTGATTAAAAACACTACTCTTTGTTGTTGTAATCGGCATAATGATTTTTCGGTAGGGCATACCCCTCGGTAGGCTACTTAGCTAGGATACCCTATCGAGGGATATGCCTGATCTAATTTCGACAGTGGTGGCCCATATAGGTCCTGCTAAGTAAACATCGCGACGTGAGGGGAGTTCAGATCAACGCTCAAATCGGTTCCAGCATGATCTTCATGGCAGGGTAGATGTTCGTCTTCGGCGTCGCCACCTTCGCCGCCTACTCGGTTGGACCTCGGTCGGGTCGAGACCTTTGCTCTACATCGGATCATAAGATTTGGCAACATGGAGTATACGGTCGACCACCGCGGAAAGCTGATCATCTCTGGTTTGGCATCTCACCAGATCCAAAACTAGTAGAGGCCGGTGACGGTTTAATAAATCGGGGGGTGGCTGCTTGGTGGGGAGCCCGACAACAGACCCGTTTTGGGGCCCATGAAGATAGGTGAAGACCTAGCCACGGAGGGGATCCTTAGAGCCCAGAGAGATGACAAAGGACCATCTTGACGAGCAAGTCAAGGTGGCAGCATCTTACATCAGATAGATCTCCTGTAAAACCCTAGCCCCGGGCATCTATATAAGGTGGGGGCTAGGGCCTAGTGGTAGCAATTCCTATCTACATCCGTAAAACCATACTCTCGGTAGTCTCATGCTCCATCCCCATTATAACCCTCGCACAAGGTACTCCACCATGAATGCAAACACAAAGCAGGACATAGGGTGTTACTCCTTCCCGAAGGCCCGAAATTGGGTAACTTCCTCGTGTGATCTTTGATCTGGTACTTCCGGCCATGTTCGCCACCCTACCGAGGGCACTGACAACTTTACGAACCATCAGTTGGCGTGGCACGCATGGAATACGCTGGTTAGAGAACAAACCCAGATCAAATTGTTGTTGTGCATGACAGGAAACTTCACGCCGGACCAGACTTCTATCTTCGGCTCTTTCGAGCTCGAGGTTGATAATGTGTGTAATTGTTGGATTTTGTGTGGAGACTGTACATACCCCTCCACCCCCTTCTCCATTAGAGAGAGAGCCATCAGAACATGCCTACACTTCCAGCTTAGATTTTTTGAGAGAATCACCTACTCATGTGTTGAGATCAAGATATTCCAATCCTACCACAAGATCCTTGATTTCTAGCCTTCTCCAAGTTGCTTTCCACTCAAATCATCTTTCCACCATATTCAAATCTGTGAGAGAGAGTTGAGTGTTGGGGAGACTATCATTTGAAGCACAAGAGTAAGGAGTTCATCATCAACACAACATCCATTGCCTTTTGGAGAGTGGTGGCTCCTAGATTGGTTAGGTGTCGCTTGGGAGCCTCTGAGAAGATTGTGGAGTTGAACCAAGAAGTTTGTAAGGGCTAGGAGATCGCCTACTTCGTCAAGATCTACCCGAGTGAGCCAAGTCCTTTGTGGGCGATGGCCATGGTGGGATAGACAAGGTTGCTTCTTTATGGATCCTTCATGGGTGGAGCCCTCCATGGACTCGTGCAACCGTTACCTTTCGTGGGTTGAAGTCTCCATCAACGTGGACATACAATAGCACCACCTATCGGAACCACGCCAAAAATCTTCGTGTCATCATTGCGTTTGCACTCTCCAAACCCTTTTCTTTACCTTCATATGCAATGTTTTACTTTCCGCTGCTACACTCTTAGAATTGCATGTGTAGGTTGATTGCTTGACTTGCGCTAATTGCTAAAATCAGCCCGCAACTAAAATTGTGAAAAGGTTAGATTTTTATTTGGTCAGCTAGTCTAATTACCTCCCCTCTAGACCTACTTCCGATCCTACACATATCATTACTACTATGAGCTACATGCCACAAATTTATACTTGAGCAAACGTGTATGCAAACACCATATCAAAGGTTCAAACATGCTTGCCTGGATCAACGTAGGCAGAGGACGATCCCGCAAGATCTCCAGCAACTTTACCTCCTTGGTTTTCTATAAAACAAAAGGCGCAATTCCTACATAAATTTTATGGCCGTGCAAAAAGTTGTCCAAAAATATTTTCAAATAAATGCGATAAAAAACTAGACTGGAAAAGAAAATTTCCAGAAAAGGAATCAACTGAAAATGATTTGAGGTTAAAAAGTGATGAGGTTTTTAAAACCAAGGACCTTTTTATAATTAAAATAACTGCTATCGGGCCTTTACTGTTATCAACAGAAAGCACCTTTGAGGAAATACGTTTTCCAGCAAGGGAAACGCACTCTAGCAGAAGACGTCAGCGAATTCACTCGAAAAGAATAAAACACTGATGGGTGGGTAGTGGAGTTTGAAATCCGCGGGCGAGAACAGAGGGGAGAGGATGGCCACCGGCAGTGATCGGCGACGATCTGGGCTACGGGGATGGTGCAGGCGTGCTCGTGGAACCTTTCCGCGTCTGTGGGTGGTGGAGTTGGCTGTCGACGTGCACTACGGCGACGACAGCGTCACCTCCAGAAGACGGCAACTTCGGTTGGCGATGGATCTCACTGGAGGGACCTGCAATCATCAAATTGACGTGCGGGTCGGGTGAGTGGGAGCTCTAGGAGGCTATTGACAACATTTGGAACGTAGAGGAGGGATACCCACGTTGGACTCTTTCGATACCCGAGGCAGATCGGGCGGCCGGAGCCGGAGAAGAAGACCTCGCTGAGGCCCTCTGTTGCTACTAGGTGTCAATTGGGAGTGTGAGGTGGTGATGTGAGAGCAGAGAGGGGCTCGAGAGCTCTATTTATAGGCGGCTCGACAGGGTCCGTGAAGTAAATATGCCCTAGAGGCAATAATAAAGTTGTTATTTTATATTTCCTTATTAATGAAAAATGTTTATTATTCATGCTAGAGTTATATTGACCAGAAACCTTAATACATGTGTGAATACATAGACAAACACTGTGTCCCTAGTGAGCCTCTACTTGACTAGCTCGTTGATCAAAGATGGTTAAGGTTTCCAAACCATGGACATAAGTTGTCATTTGGTAACGGGATCACATCATTAGGAGCACTAGAATGATGTGATGGACATGACCCATCCGTTAGCTTAGCATATTGATCGTTCAGTTTTATTGCTATTGCTTTCTTCATGTCAAATACATATTCCTTCAACTATGAGATTATGCAACTCTCGGATACCGGAGGAATACCCTATGTGCTATCAAAC